AATCTCACTCCTTCCAGGAATATATCCATCTTCAATATCATCATGTACGTATATCCTGATATCTCTCACGTTTATCAAGAAAATCTGTGTTCCTGATTTGTGCGCCGTGATCCTTGTTGTCCTGCGAATATTCATGGAATTATGAGAGTGTACTCCAAGACCAACTGAGGCCAGTGACTGAATCAACGTGAGACGTGGTCTAGTCATTGAAATGAGAATAAACTAGGTCTTACTTGCAGACTAGAGGATGGTTCAGTTGGAATCGACCTTGTTACGAGTGAAAGATTAACGTGGTTAGCCTCGAATCATTTTCCCGAGCCAATGTTGGGGTATGGAAAAATTTGGCTGAATCTAGCCCTTGGGTAGTATTTGGCTCCCGGAATGAATGAATGAATGAAAGTTAATTCGTGACGGGCACAAGCCTTGCACTCAAAGAGCATGACACGGAGAAGACTAGCTTACCTGACGACTACATACGACGATAGCTCAGTTTGACATTCGGACTACTCATGTAGTGGGTGCATTCGCTGAAACCACTCGAGACCTTGTTGCTAGGGACTTTCAACCTTAACTCAACCGTTAATATCCACCAAAGGAAAAACGGGAAAACGGGAAAACGGGAAAAACCCTTGGCTACCCTAACATGCCTTTGCCATCTTGTATATAGCCGCTGTACAAGATATGGCCTCACAGTCCTCTCTTTCTCGAGTGAGGTAGGTGTCCAGGCTACCCAGACTTCAATCCCGGGAGATGACGATCAGGAGGCGGTCCAAAACACCTTCCATCGTTGCCTGTTTCTAGAGTGTCGGTCGCACTGTCCGAAATCGTATCCTCGGCGCCCACAGACACTTTTAAGTCGAAAACACTCGGAAAATGTGCGTCACAGCATGCCCATTCGTGGCTTCTTCACTCGTTCATCCCACGTCCCAGCTGCCTGTCCTCCCTCAAGATATGAAGCCTCATCAGAGCAACAGTCCCCCATAGACCAAGACCCGAGCTTTGTAGATTATGACTTGAATTCCTCCTTGCGGGTATACGTAGCATCGTAAATTTGTAGTGATAGCCGGTAATGAACGGGACAATCTCCTGTTTGCAATTGGAGTGACGCCTTTATCGGTCGTTGAAGCGGGATGATGCGTGGTTAGAAAGAGGTTGGGGACTCCAAAGATAATGATGAGTGCTGCATGATTGAGAAGTCGTCAAATGGAGATATGCATGTGTTTACTTTCGACTTCGACTCGGATGTGATTCTTCTTGGCTATCCCGACATTCAGAGCATACTAAACCATTACACCAGCACCGCTGGAAGGTGAAAAATACGTCTTTATCGTCATTTCGCTTCCTGAATCTTATTGGATATTAAGGATAGCTATTCAGTCTTTGAGGTCCTCCGTCGGAGTTGCGGCGCCGATTGTGCATGATTATTCGAATGTAATACTTTTTTTTTTTTGCATCAGATTTTAATTGCGTATGCAGCTATCTAGCTATGACACAATATCAAAGAAAAGTACAGAAAAGATGACTCAATTTACAAGAGGAGCACTCATGCCTCAGATTTCATTTGCAAGTACCACTGCGAAGTTATGGCGGCTTTTTCTTCACCCCAAGTCAACCCTCATCCGTGAATACCCACTCAAGGGAACGTCTCAAAAACCCTGAGATATCCAGACATGTCTCCATCATCTTTCAACTTTTCTCCGCGCGAAATATGATCTGAGATGTCTCCTTCCCAAGTGGAGTAGGTGCCCAGGCTACTCAGACTATACCGGAGAACACCACAAGGTGGCAGACCATGTCACCATCCATCGTCTGCTTGTTTTTATAGTGTCAACTGCACTCTCGCAAGCGAAGTCTTGGCGCGCACAAAGCTCGATTCGTAAAACTCTTGCCAAAATTCAAAATTTCACGCCCGTCGAGAATGTATCCCTCTTCTGCATCATCTTGTAATCTTTTCCTGACCCCTCTCACGTCCATCCCAAAGAACTATCTCCCAGATTTGTGCGCCACACTTTGCTTCCTCCGTCGGGTATAAATATCGGCGTGGGCGTGTATTTGGCGGTCAAATAAGGCCAGAGAAAGTCGACTAGAGGTGTGATCATCGGGGTGAGGATGTACTATGTCGTACTTGTAGACTTGATGAAGCTTAGTCGAGAATCGGACTCTTTGGGAATGAAAGATTGACGTGGTGGAGTAATTTGAATTTTTGCCTCGTGGGCCAACTTCTTTGATATTGCGAAATTTGACTGAACTTGGCTCTGGGGGAATATTTCACTCCCAGGTTCGTAGAGGACACCGCGTACAGGTGTTCAGTCTTGCCCTCCTTCGAATGTAGTACATTGAACGCACAGATGGTCGACGCGATCTTACTTTTCATAACCGCTCAGCCGCACTAGCATTGCATTGACGGCTTTGAAACGTGCCAACGAACATGAATCTTTCCCTTGTACGTAGAAGGAAGAGTTCCTAAAGGTTCCATCTAGAGTGATCATAACTAGGCTCAGCTATTTTTGAAGCGCCTATTCGTGTTTTGCTAGTGAGAATTTCCAGGCATTTTGCGGTGTAGAGGCAATTGAGGTCAACACCATCCACTCCTGACCCAAATGCGACTCTCCGAGTCACGTTGGTCACAAGGCCTGCTGATGAAACTGTGAGCAACACTGGCTACGTCTTTCACCTGACAGGCTATAGTGGAGCGGAGGTTAGTGGTAGGCATGTGCATGGACTTTTCCAGATACATGAAATTATTAGAGTGTATAGTACTGCTGGGCTAGTTGATATGTGACCTGATCCTAGTGACGGGTAGGTCCAGCCTAGAGAACGATCTGAATGTGTGGGGCCTCACCGCTATAAAGACGAAGCGAAGCGGGTACGTGGCATCATGCACCGCAAGAATAGCAATAATCTCGTCTTCCCTGCATCAGTTTTACAGTAGCACGAACCACCATTCGAGATGGCGCAACCTACTTTACCATCAGCCAAGACGTACAGCCCTCCCTTGAACAGAAAAAAGCGTCAAGCCCTACTTCTGAACCCGGGCTCGGGTGCTAGCTGGGTAGGTGGGGAAATAATTCATTGGCAAGGTCAATACGATGCCAGCAATGAGGAGGCTGGAATGTAGAGCGGGGCTCATGTCTCGTCCAGTAAGCTGCTTGATGCTTGAAATAGTTGGACTCTTGATATCCGCGACAATCGAGATCACGTATGGGGAAGGCGGGTGGAGATAACATGCAAAGCAGACATCAAGTGGCGAGAAGCGACACGAGGCTTGGGTGGTAAAAATAAATCTGACGCCCCCTACCCTTACAGGATAGACATCAGGCAGTCCAGAACGACATGCCTAGGTAAGGCTATACTCGCCAAGAGCAATGGCTATTTTCCTCGTGCCGACCACGCTAATCCAATCTAGGCGTTGGCTGACATTTACTGAGGCTTGCTTCCGACCGGCTGACGGCTGCATCGGACATCCGAGGCGGCATGGCTCATGAGGAAGCCTAGGAGCTGTAACGTTGAGGCTTTGAAGTGCATTAAGCTGATGGAAATAGATTCACTGTACGTGTATTCAGACGAACAGCATGATGGTCTAGTACACTGGCGACGGGTGTTCGTCAATCTGGTAGTGTTGGTGAGGGTTGCCGTTTTCCATACCCTCCTCAGCTCACTATTAGATCCAAGCTCAAGCCCTAGCGAGACGGGTCCATGTCAGGCTATATTTGGTCTAGCGCATGTCGCTTACCTGACGATCAGAGGGACTAGAGATTACGGTTGAGATTTAGCATAATTCGTTTTGATATTGTTTTGGCAACGAACGGGCGAGCAAAGAAAGGGATCTTGGGCAGGCCGGAGGATGGTTGGGGTTCTCGAGCGGTTCGTTACGAGGAAAAAGGGGCTTGAGTAGCGACCAGAGCCAAGGAGACTGATCCCAACACTTTCAGGCCGCCAATGAGTAAGTGACGGTGCGTTATCAACTGAAGTGCATGGCAACAGCGGATTTAGAGTATGCTAATGCGTGGATTGCATGCATTGCATCTAATAATGGGAATAATGCTCGTACAGCACGAGACGGCCTGCGCACAATGGAGCAGAGAGAACGCATGCAACTCAAGACACACGAACGAGTAAGTACACGAGGAATTTCAGATCAGCTGAGCTATCACACTGTAAATCCACTTACATTCATCCTTCATTCCCTTGACCTTAGACGTAAAATAATAAACCAAGCCAATCACTCCCTTGACATGGGCCTCTTCATCCGATCTTCGTCCAAGCTGACAAGCCATTCCACGGACCAGTAGCTCTGGCGTTGGCACTGACTCTGTTCAATCGTCGGTCTTCCGTGCCTTTTCATACCCAAGGACACAAGAGCGTCGTATAATGGTTTCCAATCATTTCTGCAGTCAACCCTACCGCCAAGCTGTCCGATATAGCCACATTCATCTCAATTATTCTCCTGCTGACTCTACGCTGTTTTCCTCCAGAAATTGTCCTCGGGATCAACGTTGTGAACCTCGCTGCTGCTCTTTCCCACCATATCACGATGTAGTGGAGTTTGCATTCAGTGTTGGACTGACCACTCACTTCTTTCCTTCTGCCCACGTCAAATTGGCGTCCCAGCTAGCGTCTGGATGTGTCGCCCCACCATATCCATCCACACTCACCCTAGTTTCGCCTCGCCCGCACCAAACTACACCATGTAATTGAGGAACCTAGCTAGTTGCATCTTCATGACGCGTGTCCGCCCGGCCATTGGTAAACGAACAAGATTACCTCGGCATCAGCAAATGGGTGGATCTCCCCACCAAGTAGGCTTAGCGTCATTCTTCCAACTCACTGCTCAGAAATATCTTAAAGCTCCGCCGTTCCATCCACGACTTCAATTCTAGGACACGCCAGTCATTCCCATCAACGTCCATCATCCGCTCTTCCTTCTCCAAAGATTACATACTGAAAACCGTCAATTCGCTGAGCCCCTTCCAACACCTCACACTCCGCCGATCCTCAGTATGATGGAAATCGATCTCTCTCTTAATTCCGTCTCGCTGGTGGCTGCTCTTGGGGTGTCCGCATATCTTGTCGACCAATGCATTACTCCGCCAAATCCTGCACCTTCGGCTTCTATCGAGTATGGCAATGATTCCATGCAGGTCATTCACAAGTTAGAGCTTCTTCGCCCGTGGGCGTTTCTTGTTTGGTTTCTCCACTACGCTCTCATTCTCTTTCCCCACAACAGAGAAAGTATTTGCCTGAACCCAGATCTGCTTAACGAGGACCTTTATACCTGGAATAAGACAACAATTATATACATTTTGGTGATCTTAGTGGCTGCTACCAGCAGAGTCGCTGCCTATGCCCAACTTGGGAAAAACTTTACGTATCGTCTCGCTACACCATCTGGACTCATAAAAACTGGATTCTACGCATACGTGCAGCATCCATCATACACCGCTCTTCTAGCTGTTGCTTCAGTAAACGGCTTCACTATGCTACGATTTGACGGAACACTAGCCTGCTTACTCCCAAGATGGATATCAAGCATCTCATGGTAAGGATTCTAATTATACTTCACTCGGATTAACTCTCTTCCATTACACCTTTTGAGAAATATGCTGTAATGCGGAACCATTAGACCCTTAACAAACCGTACCTTGTGTCATGAAGTTCGCTAATTTTTATAGGCACCCTATCGTTGGTGTTATTGTAACAGCTGCTGCCATTTTTGGCCTCTACTGTCGGGTTCGAGACGAAGAAACTATGATGAAGAAGGAGTTTGGTAAGGAGTGGGAGGACTGGAACAAAAGCACCAAAAAGTTTATCCCTTTTATCATCTAAGACACATGTTATGGGTACGAACTAGTGTGGGAGGTAATGATGGATTGTCGGCGCTCGCTTCTGAGTAAATGGAAGAATCTTTGTACAATTTAGGCGTCTTTGTTGCAGTCTTACGGCGTCGCGTTTGTGTAAACCCAGTACTTTTTTAGGCATCTGGCATCGTAATGCATAAAACTTATGAATTCTGCTTTTAATAATGTTACGAAAGAATCTTAGTAACACTTGATGGAGAAATTTCAACTGATCAGGCTGAAAGGAAAACAAAAGATTGATGTGCCTTGATATGCTTACTTTCTCCCTATTATCACAGTATCAAGAGATCCTAGATTCGCAAATGATCTTGTTGACGACGGCTAAAACTAGGATTATGTCCAACGCGTATAGAGTATGCCAAAATGCTGCCCCCCTTTATAATAATCGGATTTTCACGTAAAAAGGATCTAACTTCCAGGCGCAACCCAACCCCAACATGTGTACGAGCATTACAGTATATTATACGAGATATTTTTCATGTTATTACTCATATTTTCGATTGGAGTGTGTACCAACCTACAGAATTTAGTAGTATTTCTTGCATGACAGGAACCAGATGTAGAGATATTTCAACCGGTCACAGAATCGCCTCACATCTTCACTATGAATCTCCAAGACGCTCGTCCACTCAGACTTGAGGACAGGCCGAGCCATGCAGCTATGATTTGCACAGCGACAACTAAATTCTGTCCTAAGGAGTAGTGCTGGAACATCCTTTTTTTATATTTTTTTTTTACAAAACTGGAACATTCGCAATGGCGGCATTCAATAGAGATAGTCTTAACACGCGATGCTCCCTTACCTGCAAAACTTAGGTATTGAGAAGAAGATTAACACTGCACTGCAACGCCCGATAAACATTGACCAACATAATGCATGCTTACAGCGGGGCGGGCTGAAGGTCTTATCGATTGTTGCGTCCAAATTGCATAGGGGTTTCGAAAGTCAGGCGTGGCACTTCTCTCTAAACTAGCAATCAGGTGCATCTCTATCTAAGTTCTGTACACCATCAGTCGTGGCCAGGGTAGTTAGAAGAATTAACTTCAGATGGTGGCGCACGCTCGCCGGCGACCGACACAATTAAACTTGAGCTTTGACTTTCGGTCGTTGTATAAACGGCTTGAAGCTCTCGGGCCTACATCCACAGTTCGCATACACCAGACGATGAAGCATATAGTTTGACAAACCATGTATTGCGACGTTGGAGACTAAAGGCGCAAAATCAGCCCGTTCGCCCCCATAGACCTCCGGCTTCGGTCAACAGGACGTGCGAGGCACCTGTGTTGAGCCAGTCTTTGTAGCCTGAACGCGCAAAGCAATACTCGCTGTTCGACAGCTAGCCTCATCTGCAAGATGATCAACCCGCAACCCGCCCCTGGCCCTCCCTGAGCTCCTGCGCAGCTTAAGCCCAGGCAAAGTGGGCCCTTTTCGTCGGGAAAAGAAATCACAAACCTAATTTGCATCTAGGATCTCCTCTGACACGTCTATTCGCAAGGAGCGAACATCATCATGTACTTGTGCGGACGGTTTCACTAAAAGAGCAGGGATAACCTGCATGGAGACTTTACTCACGCTGTACAGATAAGCTCGCCGTGGTTCGTGTGCGGCAACGAATCCATGATGACACCCTCCATCAGGAACCTAGCCCAGCAAATTTTCAGGATAGAGTACTTCATTACCCCGAGTTGAGGATACCAGGTGAATAATATCTCCGAATTTGTCTGCAGGATGTTCCTGGTAGACTGTTGAGGGGCATGCGGCAAGCCTGAGCGTAGCTCGCGGGCTCTTCCGTCCAGCTTAGCCACAAAGTTTACTTGCTGACCCACAATCCTTGAGCTATCTTATGCAACTTGCCAACTGTTAATGGACCGTCCACCTCTGATGCAAGCAGAAAATATCATCTTGTGACGCAACCATACCACTTCAATTCCTCAGCAAGCCGCTGCGTGCAGCCGCGGTGTTTCAACATGCACGACCCTTCCAATACCACGTACCTCTCTTGGCTTTGGCCGATGAATAGACCTAGTCAGGCTCAGAACTACAGGAGACGTGATTTAGGGTAGTATTTCAACGTGCCAGCCAAGACCGTTGTCTCCTCTGTCTCGCAGCAAGTGTTATAAGAACAGGGACACTAGATCGCTCAAGCAATAAGATGCCAAGATGCTCAACTCTCGTCACGCATAGTATGGCCGTACGATGGGCGCATTATTAAACCTACACTGAGACGCCAACATCACCCCTCGTTCAGTTTGCGCCACACGTGATTTAACAGGCTATTTAGCGGATTGCGTTTGTCGTATAGCACTCCACATCCCTAAAACGGTCCTCGCTAATTCCATCATGCAGAAGGTAAGTCTCAGTGTATCCTCAAGTTGACCGAGTAATCAGTAATCTGTTACATTTTATAGTCATTTAATCTATCGATTATTAATCCGTACAAGTTTTCTCCACAGGTGCTCTCCATGATCCATTGGAACACTGCAAGCTCTCTATATTATCGGCCTGCAAAATAAGCGGATATAATTGTGCATTTGCTCAAGTTGTATAAAATTGTTGCCAAGACCGCTAATCACTTTAAATGAAGTGTCGCATGAATTTAGTACTACTATTTACTATCATCGACACAGTTATATCAAAATATTGATCAACTCTCTGTGTGCATACATACACTGAAGAGCAGAGATAATTTATTCGTCTCATCAATATGCAATACTTCAAACGGCGTTCGATCACTCGTGTAGAAAGTAAAGGTTGATCGATGTAGCTACAATTGGCAAAGACGAATGTTATGGCCGTCGCTGATTTAAAAATTTGGAACCTCACGCAAGATATCATTGTTTTCAAGGTGGTGAAAAAGTACTATATTGCAGCAGATTCATAAGAGCCTATATTGTGCACTAATTTACCTGATCTGCACAAAGTGAGTGAGAGATGAGTTTGTAATTCCATGAAATCTCCACTTCGTAACTTAGTTCCATCTCTCTATAGTATACTTTGTAGTATTTAGCCCTGTATCTGGTCGATTGCACTATTTATAAGAGTTGTAGGCTCGGTAGAGGCTTGAATTTACTTATATTCTATAGTTGCTTGCACTAGACTGTCAGCACCAAAAATTTTGTATACTTTGATCAAATAAAACTTCTCAGCGCCAATTCTATCAACAGACTCTCAATATTCTGGGTTGAAGTCAGAAGTCTCAGGTTTAACGGATCAAGACTGAGCCGCGTGATTTACCAGAAGGTCTCACGGCTGCTAGATGTTGTTATGATCTATGAGAAAAGAAGGTTACCATTATATCCCTATTTCTCGGAATAAATTACCTACTAAAAACCCTATGCGTCGACATACTGAAACTTTTGATAAGCTAGAATTTGAGTGAATGATGGCGATGTTGCAGATTTAATCTGTCCATAACTCTGAGCTTAATGATGGCTAGCAACACGAGGAATATCATGACCTGTCATTTAAGATAAAAGTTCGAAAAGACATTGGATAGAAGATGAGACCAATAGAGAAAGGGCTGATTAGCTCAGAGTAGGTATAAGCATTGTGAATGTAATCGGAAGCTTCAATAACATAATGAGTCAAGTGCGCGATATATATACGGGTGTCCTATCCCTGTTCACAAATACCAACCCCCGCACTGCTACAAACACCATTAATCTCTATTATCCATCGTAATCCTGAGTTTTTGTTATACGGTATGTTTGTACAGGTCGATATCAAGAAAGAAATAGTTACAGGCGGATCTTTCTATGCTTACTCATGACAGCTTGCCGTGCTGCTTCGAAAGGGAACTTTTACACAAATATATATATATGAGACAAGTAGGGAAGGGTGATGGAAATCGCAGTTGAGACATGGGCCCCTAAAAAAGAAGAGATATGGCCGACTAAGATTGCTTTCGTGAAGGTGGAAGTTCTGGAAGCAACTTCTTCGGTTTCTCGTAAAATGACATATGATGGATAGAATCTCAGATGTTTCCACGACCTTATAATTAAGTGAGGTTCTCCAAATATGATCATATACTTTGTTGAAAATAATATTGTTGACGGTGCGTTAATGCTTCGTGGTAGCCTGTCCAGTGACTGATCAGCCTCATTGGTCTCCTTGATAAATACGAGCCTCCTTGACGCCTCATTTGTTGCTTCTGCTTTGAGCGACAATACGGCCTGTCGATGCATGTGCAGTATTGACGGATTGATAGACTATAACGATTGAGCTATTTCTTCTATGATGCTTCGTTTGATCGACACCCTGTGCTTGAGTGGCAGGAGGGCCTTGACTGATCTTCCAGGGCTCGGGAAGAAGAATCAGGCTTGCCTCGAGGTGAGTATCAGTGGTGGCACTTCAAACGTCAGATATCCGCCGCAGTTGATCAGCGGGCTTACAAGCCCAAGAATACTAGTAAGGGCCAGCATTAGAGATTATCCGCCACAGCCCCACGGCGTTTCCATGGCCACATGTGATAGGTTGGGCGGCATCTTGCAACTCAAAAGAATCCAGCCCCCATTATGCTGGGTGGGAACATTAGCCGCGAGGGATGGGCTGCCATTGGTTTGGCAAGCGCCCGAGCACTTGGTCATTCGGAGCGGCTAGGGTAGACGCCATAGCCAAAGAGGATATCAAGATGTGTGATGACTAAGTGGCAAATACTGTCCATATTGATAGCTTTTCTGCTCAAGCTTCATCCATTGTTAGAGACTGACGCTTTACAACGAGCTACCTGTCAGACCATCCAAAAAACAATTATACCAAACATTTAGGGGCGAACCTATCATGATCCATTGACATAGAAGGGTAATGCACGACTGAAATATAAGCGAGAAATAGCCTAGCGTGTCCTTGGTATCCATAGACTCAGGAGGAAAATAAAAAATGAAATTAATTTAAAATTCTCTGACTATAGCTGTGAACGCGGGCACGGTCCAGTCAAGGATACGTAACTGTAGATGTGGTAAGTGGTA